GCGATAGTGGCCACGCAAAGGGCTACTTCCAATATGATGAGCTGGAGCTACTATGTTGTACTGTCTCCAGACTACCTGAACGCCTTGCTCTGAAAAGACCGGGAGCCAGACTTTTTGGTCGATCTGCAGCAGTTGCTCGTTCTTCTGCTCCTGCACAACACGCGGGATTTGTAAGACCGTGAATTCACAGTGCTCAGATAATGCATGTGGAAACTGCTGTGTGTGCCAGGCATGTACCATGGAATCCAAAGTCCAAGTGGCTGAGGTTAGAAGTGTAATCGGAGCAACTCCTGTGTCTTTGATTATAGAGCCTTCAGCCAGCGTTGATCTCGCCTCAGATTGAAATGATAGGAGGAGTGCCTGCGAGAATTCAGCTGCATCGTGCTGCCCGCCATCAAATGTCTAGTGGACTGTTGCCTTCCTGAAGGCTGGATGTTCTGGATTGATTAGTGCGCGCATGGCTCTTGCAAAGGCCCCGCTCAGGGGACCCGACCTGCGCAGGGATGGCTGCTGCCACCACAGACACTGTAGAACCGAGTTGCTATAGCAATGGTTGGCCGAATTGTTCAATCGAAGAAAATTCTCTAGTCTTCTTTCTGAACTTGAGCTTGACGCTCTGGCTGTCTGCTTATTCCCTTCGCCTTCAGTCCTCTTTGGTTCTGCGGGATGTTGGGCTTGATCAAGCCACAGGGCAGAGACAGCCTGAACTATATGAGCCTGAATCTACTTTCTCACCATCACATGCCTGCCCACGCGCGACCAATGAGCCTGAACTGGGAAGCTTGACTAGCCACAGCAAGAGCCATTGCCGCCGCGGCCACCTTGTTGGTGAGGTAATCGGCTGGGCGCACGGCTTTCACAAGCCCAGGCTCCGGAATCTCATCTCCCACAACTGCATAAAATCAGCATTGCTAGGAAAGATCTGCTTGATCAACGCACTGCTGGACGTGTCTGCCCGGAGCATCAACTTGGATCTCGCAAAATCTGCACTTCTGTCCCTTTTTGAGAAGGACTTTGAAGTTGTCTAACTTGGGATCTATGATCGGGTTGACCTGTTGCATAGTCTGGGTATGTTGCTTGTTAAGATGTTGCTTGACTCCTTATCCTTTGAGTGCTACTTTTGAGAGCATAAGCAACATCTCTCTCGGAGCACTTCCTTGTAGCTGGGATTGATCGCAGCTTCTCCTGGGTCTTCTGCTATTTGAGCTAGAAGGGAAGGTTTATCCACTGCTGCTGGTGCGCTCTCATCCTGCTCGTAGACGGACGACAGTTGCACAAAGTGGTTTGTTTAGGGCAGTTAGATGCTTCGCCATGTTTGCGCAGCTGGAAAAACTTTCTGAATGCTCTGTGACAGGCTCGGCATGATGACGTGGAGGGGATTGCATGGAATTTTGGCTCGAACTTTGGACCCTTATGCCGACGCTCCGTTTCTGGATGAACTCTTTTGAGATGTCTTCTCAGAGGTCCAGCGCCGTTGAATTCTAGTCCGCATTCCTGACAGATGATTGTTTCTGGGTTAGATGGGATTTCTGGCTCGTCCATATTAAATATGCTCTGATGAATTTGTTGGACCCTGTCTAAGTACTGCTGAATAATTGGGAACTCTGCAGGATCTTTGTTTTGTTGTCTCTGCATAAAGTTATGGGCTCTTGTTCTGAGATGCTCTCTCGGCGTTCCTAGCTGCTTCCTCTGGAGCAGGCTAGAGCTTGTTTCGTGTGTATTGCGAGAAAAGCTGCGTAGCACTAGCCTGGCTTGATAGGCAAAGATGCTGTCAAGGTTTGCAGACCTTTGGGAGTAACTCCGACTGCTGAGGCCAACGATGTTGTCCTCCACATGTGCAGACGCTTGGCCTCTGGGAGGGCCCTATCGTTGGCTATAACGTGTGAAACCTCGCTAAGGACTTGTCTGCTGCAGGCAAGCCTGTGAGCCTGCCCTCCAGGATCAGCAACAACCAGAGCAGTTCGGTCAACATCTCAGCTGTCTTGCAAAGGTTTACCTGCAACACAGACGCCATGATTTGGCTGCCATCATTCGTGGAGGATCACCTTTCAAGAGGCCATTGGCCACAAGGATTGTCAACAGGGGCTGAGCTGACCATCAACCACCTGGTTCTTCAGAGAGAAATCTTCATAGTTGTAACTTACTCCCAGATAAGGCGCAGCTTTCCTTATCGGGATAAGTTGGCCGTCTGGGAGTTGGATGTGCATTCCTACCTTCTTTAGCTTGACCCTGTATTTAGCTAGCTCATGCTGGGCTGAGGCTCCTGAGGCTGAAATAAGGAATGTGCATTTCTTTGGGTTTACCTTGAGGCCCATGCTTTCCAGTGTCTGAAAAGGGTCCGCACAGTGTAGGGTGTCATCTGCATAAAGAGTGAGAATCTTGCCGGCTTGCTCTGTACCAAGGTGGTCCTTCATCTTGCGGTAGAAAAGACCCGTCGCTATTGCAAACACTGACGGAGCCAGCTTGCATCCTTGTTTAGTGCCCCTTTTGGTCGTTATTGAAGAGGCCGTGCCGTCCACTGTCATCTTATAGAGGGCGTCCGCACGAAGCTTGCCTAGTTGAGTCCAGCTGGATGTCTTCTAAGGTTTTGCGAAGGGGGTCCTGTCCACCATATCGAAATCTTTGGACATATCAACGCTGAGGGTAATGCTGCCTGAGAAACTTGGTCCCTGAAATTTCTTGCCTGCAAGACGTTGATCGCTATTACGCTTCTGTCTGACCTGCTGAGATATCGGTATTTCTTCTGGACTGCAGCGGGTAGACCTCTTGAGATGCGTGCTTGATGCAGTACAGAATTGAAGCAAAGCCAACTTGTGGGCGGTGCCTGCCTAATGAGGGAGTCAATGCTGTCCCTTAGAAGGTGAATTCTTCCCGAGCCTGTCCTGAGGTCATAGTCTATCCACTTGACATCGTAGGCCGTCTGGGCGTCAAAGTTATATGTCCTTTCGCGCAGAAGCTTCCCTATTAAAGGAAAGTGTCTACTGCCATCCCGCCACGTTGCAACCTGAAAGTTTCGCATGGGCTTGCACTCTCTGGCTGGTCCTTTGGCCTGGGTGATCCTTGTCAGCACAAAGTCAATCTGAGAGATGGAATTGCCCTGAACATGTGTTGCGGGCTTGCCTGTGTTTAGCGCTGTGAGGCCATGTTCTTCGAGCAGTTTTTGCAGCTGCGGACCATGTGTTTAGTGCTGTGAGGCCATGTTCTTCGAGCAGTTTTTGTAGTGGGCAGCTTGAGCCTGGGGCCTCTTGTCACGCATGGTCCCACCTATGATTTGTCTGGTAGAAGAGGACAATTAAAATCCCCAGATATTATGAGCGAGTTCCTGTGCAGGATTTTTTAAGTGCCTGCTGAGTTGATTAAGAAGCCCCTCTCTCCGTGACTTATTAGCTTCGGCCGTGGTGTTGCTGGGCCAGACGAACCGATAGATAGAGATGATATCGTTCGAAAACCTTTCTTCCGGAATAAGTACGTGCAGGATCCTCCCTGGCAAGACTTCTGCGTATCTAATGCTCTGGGAGCGGCACAAGGTTTTCTTAGCCAACACAGCTACTCCAGCACCCTTCTCTCCGCTGCTGCCTGACGAGATGACATGCCAGCTCCCACTCGTAATTTGTGAGACCCCTCTCCAATGCGTTTTTTGTAGAATGACTAGACCTGCGTAGAAAGCTGGGAGAGCAACTCTTCCCATGCGCCTGAGGTCAAGCCACCTGAGCTCCAATTCAGGAATTTGATTTGCTGGGAAGCCCTGTGCCTTGGAATTGCAGGGACAGATTTTGCAGCTAAATTTGTTGAGCCTGCAGAGCCTCCAAGTGCTGAAACGGACATAGTTCTCCCTTTGTAAGTGGCTGCCCCCTGTAACTCAGCCTCGCGTCAGGCCCTCTGGTGAGATTTTTTAGGGGCCATAATGTAGCACTACAATGCTGTTTCGCAATGCCTTAGGCAATGCTCCCGCTGGCTACGCACACCAGCAACCCTCCCCTTTCAGAGCCAGAGGCTCTGCTCGGAATTGGGACCGAGCCACTCAGGATGATGACAATTGCACCATGGCGCGATAGGAAAGCGGGACTGTACTACCCGGATCCTGCGGCTGAGCTCGAAAGGCTACCACCACCACCAACAACAACAATAACAAACCAACACCAGCACCAAAACCACCACCACCAACAACAACAACAACCACCACCACCACCACCAACAACAACAACAACCACAACAACACCAAAAACAAAAACAACAACACCAAC